TACCAATCACACCATCTGGATGCTTGGCGGCCCACCACAGTACGTTTCAAAAGGAGTTTTCTTCCGCGTACAACCTCTCTGTGGAATAGTTTACCACCGGCGATTTTTCCGGACCGATACGACCTGGGGACCTTCAAGAAAAAGAGCTTATTCCTTTCTAAAGGGCCGGCAACGCACCTGCAATTCCCCTGGTGTTGCGGTTGATCATGGGCGGCGGTAGTCACTTAACATCAGGTGAGCCGCATGCTCGTTTGCCCCCTCTTCTATAAAAAAATTTTTTTTTGAACGACAGGTTGTACAAGTCGGCACACAAGAAATAAGCTCCTAGTTATTTTGAAATTTTTGAGATTATTATAGTGTTAATTTTGATTTCTTATATTTACGCGAACACTACACATTGATTAAAACTACTTTTACGGATTTTATCGCGTCTATTTTACTATTATTTTTAATTCCCGACGTTTCGGGCGCTTTCCAGCACTCATGGTCACGGGGGACTGAGATGACTGACGTCTAGATGTCATTGTTAAACCCGGAGTACCTTCAGCATTTTGCATAGATCGGACCATAAACAATAATTTAAAAAAAAACTGAAATTCCGTAAAAGTAGTTTTAATCAGTGTTAATTTTATTAATTCATAGCTTTCCAAAATGGTTACATTTTGGAAAATTATGTTATATACTATTTAAAATATAGAATGTTTTCAATTATTTTGTTAATGTTGATATTTTGCAAAGAAAAAAGTCACGTTGTTATTAATTTGCATGAATTTGGTAAATACATTTTTATATAAAATATTTTACACGTAAGCTTTTTTATCTTGATTTTAATTTATCTTGAATGTTTAAAATGAATCGATAGACTTACTATTATTATTTATATTTATTTCCACGCAACGGAATGAAAATAAATGCTAGGTTAGCGTTCTAAAATGTAATTCTATAATTAGAAAAAATTGGTTAAGTTTATTGGGCGGGTTGGTTGAAATTCAAAGAAGAATTCAAAAATTGCAGCGAATACTTTCTTGAGAAGTACAAAAGAAAAAGTAGAATAAAATAATTTCATTAAAAGGAGACATTTCTACATTATTTGTACCAGTAAGTGTATTGTTATAATAAAACTTCAAAAATTTAGCGCCAAAAACTTTTGATAAAAATGGAGATAGATTTTTATACATTATAAAACTAATTAAGCCATTATGAACTCGGCTAAGTATCTATTTATCAAGCGAAAAAATGTATAACCTTACATAACCATCCGCACCTCACGGGTCACACTAGTACAATATTCATAGTATCACGTTATTTTTCCTAAGGTGTCGAGCGGAACTTCGGATTAATTATATTCCCAAGTCACAACGATAAAATTTAGCGTAATTAGGTATAGATATTTAGTAATGTTCCTGAAGTGCTGCTAGACGCCCACGCGTGAGACGCGCGGTTTAGTGTGCCAGAATAGTATAAACTCCATAGTATTTTATACTCACAACGCTAGATGCTCGATTCATGCTTGATGGCCGACGACAGTGTGCCAAGGGCCTAATTAAGTGGTTTATCGCGTTAGTTGTAGGCGGATCGATAGATCTGCGAGATTAAGATGCACTTGCCGCAGTTAGTCCTTGGATGGGAGACCGTTTTCTTAACATACATATAACATAGATTGAGAGAATAAAGAGTGAAAATGTATCATCAGACACTTGGTGCACTTTAATATCTCCCTCGCATTTGGCTAGTCTCTGTTAAGACCATTATGTTTTTAAATTTATGTAGATAAAACGATAATAAGTTTATTATTACTTTATATTTTTCAGGGACAGGTGGAAGAAAGTGAAAAACGGAGTAATCTAATTTAACTGATTCCTACAAGTTTCCTTACTTAAATTATTAAGTTTACATTTATATTTAAGTTGAATGACGAAATAAACTTCTATAATGTATTAAATTATTAATTATTAAATGCTTGTTATTATTCAAAGTAATACTTAAAATACGAAAAATAAAGCAGCCATTATGTACTCCGTGTCCCCGTTTTTTATTTCGCCAGCAAAATATTTTGTACAATATAAATAGGTATAAACTTAAGTATCTAACTATATATATTTCATTATCATTATGTTGAAAAGATATTCCGAGGAAGCTGTCCATGACATTAACTATTTATCTCGAAAGGTCATAGCTAGAAAATACAATTTTCCGATCTGATTCTTGGGGAAAATTGTTTAAGTTTATTCGATAAACTCACCTATTCAGAGATTATTTGGATTTTGTACATTTTGAATTAAAATCCAACAAAACGCAGGTTGGTGTTGCTTATTTTCGGTAACATGTTATATGATTTTTTTCAATTATTTTAGAATATGTTAAAAATCAGTTAACTTTTGAAGTCATTCAGTTTCATGGACTAAACTTAGTTATTTATTATTTTAACTGCTTTCTTAGCAATCATTTTTCGATTGTTCATGTAAGTAAAATGTACACAATGACAAATAAAAATTGGTCACGCGTTTTCGGGCTGTCAGGTCGTCTATACGCCAATATATTCTAAGGACCGATTTACACTTCGACAAGTACAGTAGCGAGTTTAGTTACAGGGCAGTTGACAGTAAACGGTTAAGTGGGTAGTAGCGTTCAAACAATAACTTCGTGGCGAGTTTAGTTAGGGACATTAGTTCATAGAGTTCGTCGGAGTATGACGTTTCAAGACTACAGAATTTTTCTGGTTTTCGTTCAAGAATTAAATGATCCAGTTAGAGAAGCATTAATGGTTGTTTTTAAAGAAGTTTTTTAGAATTTTCATGAGTGCAGCATCTTGAGCAGATTTAATTTTACAATTTGAACTTCTACTAACAAAGTTGATATCTTCCGTCCATTTCATTATTAAAACTCAATATAAAACGTATAAATATTCAATAAACAGTATCGTACAAACTTTGTGGCGCGTTTAATTGTAAAAGTATAATTGTACGTTTTGGCGCGCAAACTTTGCGCCCTGTCAACTTATACACTGAAATAAACTCGCTCGTTTACACGAATGGCGAGTTTAGTTGCGGGTGGCGGTAGACGCGCGGGAGGGCAGCACTTCGCACTTAACTCGCCGAAAAATAGCTCAGCCGTCTAACCCGGTCAACTTAATTGTTAACTTGCTACTTAACTCGCTTATTGCCGTTCAAACGATGTTCAAACTTAACTCGCCAGGTTCGCAAGTTAACTCGCTACTGTACTTGTCGAAGTGTAATTCGGTCTTAAGTCTATGAGTTTGTGCTTTGTGGTGCTAACACTAGGGATGCTAAATATTGCAGAAACATCGATGATTGCGTTTTTGGCATCGTTAGCTAAACATCGATGTTCGATGTTTAACCTACTCAAAACATCGATGTTAAACATTATCGATGTTTTACGTACATGTATTTAATAGGTTAGAATTAGACGATTAAAAAAATAGACATGCTGTTTACGGTATATTAACAATGCAATAAATGAAATAAATAAACAATGTACTTAGTTTAAAACAGTAATTTAACAAATTGAAAGAAGTTAACAGATATCTAGTTCATTTGTTGTACAGTCCAACATTATTTGCTATTGATTGAAGAGATGGTAATTTTGACAAAAATGTACTTTTCAATCTGTTTCTCTGTTGATAAAGAGTTGAGCAAGCTTTTGAAAATTACATTCGAATATTCGATTATGGGTTCATTGACTATTCGATGTTTCGATGTTTACATGTGGCAACATTGATGTTAAAACATCGATGATTTAAATTTTAACATCGATAATCATCGAACATCGATGATCACCGAACATTCCTATCTTACACTCCCTACTCCGTAGTATCCTCTTATAACAGTAGTCTGTGCCAGTGTGTTTCTTATATACACAATGTCGAATGTACTCTGTGGTCTGTGCTTACACGAGCTTACACTCGGACTCGAAGTTTTCGCGGAAACGGCGGAAAGACGGATTATCGTTCCTGTTTTGTCGCTTGAATTTGAAGTGGATTTTGATTTGTCAAAGTGATGCGATTTAGTGAATTAAGTGTTCGCGCGTGTGAACTGTTAAAGAAAACGACGAAAAAAGTATTTTGATGTCGATATAAACCTCAAGTTATTTTGACCGTTTGAGCACCTTATGAACTTGAGTGACTGTCGTCATTAACTGTCCGCTAGGTTGAGCTGTCGTCAAAATCTGCCAAGGGCTTCGCAATGCGATGCATCAGCATATTGTTAAGAAAAGAATATAAAATGAAGATTCCGAAAGAAATGATAGGCTCACAAGGGCTTGAACAAAGAGCCGGAAAGCCAATTAATAAAAAAAACAACTTACACCGTAGACAGAGCTTACACTCTTGTCTATGCACAAACCACAGAGTACCTTTATATATACACAAACCAAACTAACTAGATATATCTATGGGTGCTTTTGACAAAAAAAAAAGCGCTAGCAAGCGCTTGTAAGGAAAATGGCGATCGTAAGCGGTAAGCGCTGTCAAATCGTAAGTAGCTATTTTCCTCTAGGACAGGAAGTTAGTTTTAACCGGGGAACTTAACCTAATTTAAATATATGTTTGTAATGTATTCGTACTAAAAACTTATCAATCATGACTTTTTATTAACATGTATAATATGTTTATTCGTCATTATATTACTTAAAACTAATATTGCACAAAACAACTTATAAACTCTACTTAAAAACAAACAAATTAAATAAGCAAAATGGCGGATTGTGTCAGCGCTCCTGAATTTAGCAAACGTGTCCTGGCCGAAAACTGTTTAGTTTCGCTTTTGCTTACAAGCGCTTGCTAGCGCTTTTTTCTGCCAAACGCACCCTATGTAACTATGTATACACTACATACACCAGCTTGTCTTTTTATCACCACTTGTATACACCAATCTATGCAACACTGTGCGTGTGTGTCAACAGCTGATGGATGGCCTTTTTGTTATTGTGAATTATTTTTAGAGTCAATAATATTATTAATAACTAAATGAACGTGAATAACAATGGATGTTGTAGGCCTTTTAAATCATATAAACGACAAATCCGACATGTTTGCGGTCAAAACATGGACATCGGAATGGTCAAACAATTTTCAAGAGAATCAAGTAAGTATGTTTTATTGATTTTAGTTCCTTGAACAGCAGTGATTAGTTATATTAATGTATAATATTCAAGTGTGTTTTCTTATGTTAAATACCTATCCCAGTAAAAGCTTCCTGTGTTAGATAACGTCTTGTTTAATTTTAGAAATCAATATCCTTGAGAATTATTAACTAATAGTAGGTACGTATCTAGTTGGTTATTTTGGATAATTATTTACATTATGCTTTACGCACTTAAATTAAAGGTCAAATTTTTCTTACAAGTATTTAAATTAAGCTTAAAAGTATATTTTTTTACTAACACATTAGAATTAACTCTTTGTCAATAAAGCTATTCAAATAAGAAATAAAATAATATATTTCGTGTCAGCGTTGTATCTGTATTATAACTTTATCAGAGTATAAAAAAACAAGAATTTATATTCAAAGCATGTTTATTTTATGTATGTTCACTGATTTCTCAGACATGGCTGAAACAATTTAAATTAATATTTTTTTTTGATAAATATGTTATACTTCAAGATTGGTCCAATATTAATTTTATGAGAAAATTTCATCCTTAAGGGTATTAAAATAGGGGATGAATATTTTAATGTAACTATTTACACAACACCTTTTGAATTTGGTTTGTACTTTTTATTTCAAGTTTAATTATTTGCAATCAGAGAACTCCTTTTAAAATGAAAGCTTATGAACTCTAAATTTTTTAAACCGTTACTGTGTAAAGTTTAAATGAAATTTTGGAGGTTAATTTTTTTCATAATACCTGATGAAAAATGGCTACTGCAATACATGGACACCTGCAGTTAACTTTATACAAAGAACATTATAGATGCATTGTTACCCCTGAGGATTAAGATAGAATGCCTCACAGTCTTTATTTACACTGACCCTCAAGACTTGTTTATTTTACCGCCCCCTTTTAAAATCAATTATGTTTCAGCGCACCCAATATTTTATACATTTCTAAAACTTAAAAGACCACAATTTCATTTCTTTAATTATTTTAGTTATGGTGTGCTATATTATTCGGTTCTGGTGTTGAAACTTACATTCTAAACTAGACATTATTACCAGTGAGAGAAATTAAAATGCAACTTTATAATATGAAGAATATATTTTAATCTAAAATGTAAATAAAATATTAAAAGAAACAATATACATAGGTAATAAATTTTAGTTTTAAAACTAATCTAATGAGTGGGTTGATGAATTTGATGATTTTTAACAAGTTTGTTGATATCAGGTTCATTTTATTTATTTATTTAAAACTTCATATATACACAAGTGGTATATAAGTGGACTTAATGCCTAAGGCATTTTATACCAGTCTACCTTGGGGTGACGCAGAGATAGTATGAAGTAGGTGTAATAAAAAGTTAATATGAGAACAATAAACTAAAATAACAAAAACTTTGTAATACATGGAAATAAAATAGATAGGATGTAAAAGGTACGGCACAAAAAATATATAAACTAATAAAATTAAATATAAAAAAATATTAAGTTAATAAAAGGTATATATATATATATATACGACATGTCCCAAAATTAAACGATAAACGGGCACCAAAATGAAATTCTTCGAAAGTGGATAGCCCGATATGGTACTTTTAACTACCATGACCACATTTTTATTTTTTTTTTGTATTTTTTTATATCGGCAACCTTAGTAGCACTGCTATCTACCACAACCCTTATAAATCCCAGAATACATGTAGTTTTTACACAAAAATCAATTAAAATTATTTTTTTGCCCCTAAAATTTTGAAAGATTTTTACTTTCAGTACACTTTCACTCATTGTGATGTTAAAAAAAGTACTGACACTACTATGGCAAGTTTTTTTTTTAAAATTGACGCAACTAACCAAGATTCTAAAATGGTATAATACTCTTGGAAAACTAGCCACAAAAAAGCCTACTATTTCTAAACAAGAACCGAAATTTTGAACATAAATTTTTGTTGCTAGTTAATCACTTTCACTACACTACACTATGTGCTAAAAAAGTTTTTGTTGCAAGTTCCTAGAACTTGAATTGGAGATGTGTGTAGTCAGTAAAATTTAGAAGTTAGAGAGAGATAGATAGAGGAAGACTATATGTTAGAGACAGATAGATGATGTTCATTGTTTAAGTCCCCCGTGACCATGGGTGCTGGAAAGCACCCGAAACGTCGGGAATTAAAAATAATAGTAAGATAAACGCGATAAAATCCGTAAAAGTAGTTTTAATCAATGTGATTGTGTGTTTTGTGAATTGGACTATTGGCGTATTTTGGACTGTTTAGCGTTTATCATGCCACTACCTTACACACCGTTGAAATACGCTAACTCAGACGAAATAAAAACTCAAGACAGAGCACTGTCAACGATATGAGGTTGGTTTGGTTAACATGTGTGCACTAAGTGTTGCCATGCAGTAAAAACTTATTATCCTAATATATTATTGTCTGAGTACTATCAGGATGAATGATCATGTAAAAAGATAAGTTGACAATTTTTTAAATTTTATACATCACTTTAAGTAGTATGTAAGTGTGTTTGTTTCGACTAAGTAGGGGGAAAATAAAACAATAGTTATATGAAAGAAACCTTGTTTTTATTTTAATAGCCTTTTTGTTGGGTCAATTAATTGAAATATTGCCGTTTACCATCCACTGTTTTGTATTAAATTGATTCAATTTAGAAATATGGTGGAAACTAATTGATAAATATTTTTCAATTATGCATCTTATTAAGCTTATTTTATGCTCTTGGCCAGCATAATTGTACTCAGTCACCAATTTAGAGATAACATTGTCAGTACCAATAAATTGTTTTGAAGTATTAGTAACAACTGATTTGTGTTGGTTTTCAGTAACTATCACTATGCTTTTATTACATAATTTACGCACAATAGTTTCACAAATTTCAAAAAAGTCTTTCGACGGAAATATTAAGCCACCTTTATCTTTTAAAGATATCAGTTTATGGAAGTCAAATATCTCATGTAATATAATAAACGACATTTTTAAATTTATTATTATATAATACTAAATATAATATTATAGAAACATTGAAAATAATCTTTGTATACCCGTTTCGTACCACACGACGAAGTCCTTTATTTGTGTAATAAAAATCGTCATCTTCAAAATGTGTCGAATAAACTACGCTGCGCACCGTTGGATTCCACGATGGCTCATTCTCTTTAATGTCTTTATGGGATGGGGATCCTTAAAAATATAGATTTTTGAAGTGATGATAAAACATGGAAAAACAAAAAAAATAATGCCTGTTTACACTTACATTAATTTTATGAATATTAAAAGTAAAATAGAAATAGGTAAATGAACGTGTTACATTAAGTTTCGCGTCACATTAATAACTTACTGAATAAATGGGGACTACGGTGACGCTTACTAGTGGCAACACTTGTTGAGCTTTGTGTTCCAAGCTGTCAAAATAAATAATGAAAATGATTTATTAAAAATTTGGATTTTTTTTACATATGATATGTGATTCCATCCTGTTTTTTTTATTTCTGGAAGACTGGTTTTTACACCCGTTTACAACACAATTCACCATTTTTTAAAAAAAACTGTGAATTAATATAGAGTGACACTCCGTGCGCTGGAATAGCTCGAATGACAAGGTAAGGTAGTTTCGTTATATGTGTGTGCGTGGAACTGTGTATGTACAAGGCGAGGCGTAGTTTTACCGGCCTCAGTGCGTTGTTCGGCGGGGCTCTGTCTTGAGTTTTTATTTCGTCTGAGTACGCTAATATGCATCTCATTTATGCAGAATGCCGATGCAATGCTAACGCTGCTAGCAGATTGTATCGGGAAAGGTACCCAAATGCTCAAAGATACCCTGATTATCGAGTATTTATTGATGTGCATCAAGCGCTTGCAGAGGGTCGTTTATCATCTGCCAGGAGAAACGCTGGAAGACCTAGATTGGGACGCGATGAAGAAGTTCTCAATGAAATAGAAAACGATTCCACTACCTCGGTACGTGCCATAGAACTAGCTACGGAAATCCCAAAAAGTTCTGCGCATCGAATTCTTAAACGTTACAGGCTTCACCCATATCACTACAGGCGTGTGCAGACGTTATTACCGCGGGACTATCCGCTACGAGTCACATTTTGCCGTGTGATGCTGCAAAAGCACAGGGAAGATCCCCAATTCTTAGATAAAGTTCTATGGTCGGATGAAACAACCTGCACGAAAAATGGCTTACATAGTTGGAGTAATGAAAATCCGCACCTGATGAGACAAAACAAATCCCAATATCTTCTTTGAGTTACAAGGAAACTTAGATGGAAATAGTTATTTGAACTTTTTACAAAACGACTTGCCAGAATTATTAGAAGACGTGCCTCTTCGTGACTTACAAAACATGTGGTTTCAAAATGATGGTTGCCCAGCTCACTATGCCCGGCTTGTGCGAGAATATTTAAACCAAGAGTACCCAGGGCGTTGGATCGGGCGACTTGGTCCTATCTTATGGCCACTCAGTTCACCCGACCTAAGCTCCCTGGACTTCTTCTACTGGGGTTGTCTCAAAGACTGGGTTTACTCAAAACCCATTTCAACATTGGATGAGCTTCGCCAGAATATCACTCCGGCTGCGGATCATATCAATGGTCGAAGATATGCACGATGAATAAAAAGATCTTTAAGGCGATGCCGTGCCTGTATTAATGCCGGTGGCCAACAATTCGAACATTTACTGTAATATTAATAATGCAAATAAATAAAAGAAATGTAAATATTTGTACCCTTTGTTTTGATTCATGCAACATTTTAATGTATTATACCATTTTAGAATCTTGGTTAGTTGCGTCAATTTTAAAAAAAAATTGCCATAGTAGTGTCAGCACCACAATGAGTGAAAGTGTACTGGAAGTAAAAATCTTTCAAAATTTTAGGGGAAAAAATAATTTTGATTGATTTTTGTGTAAAAACTACATGTATTTTGGAATTTATAAGGGTTGTGGTAGATAGCAGTATTACTAA